CATGGGTCAAAGAAGAAATCTCAAGAGAAACTAAAGATAGCTTAAACTAAATGAAAATGAAAAGACAACTTACCAAAGTGTGTGAGATGCATCAAAAGCAGTGTTTAGAGGGAAATTTATAGTATTGGACGAACATGTTAGAAAGAAGAAGGATGTCAACGTGGGGGAGGTTGTGTATGTGCAGGGAAGTGGTATATGAGCACACTGGACCTGCTGCTCAGTTTTGCTGTAAACTTAAAACTGTTCTAAAAAAATAAAAGTGACTGCATAGTTCTAAATCTCACCTCTCTTCTCTAGAATGAATGCATCTTTTCTATATTCTTCTAATACTTCAAAACAAAATATTCATTCAAAACAAGGCTCTCCACTGACAGTGTTTAAGAACTTAACTACTCCTTTGTTATCTTAGGACAGACTGACTAAAGAGTTGGTCAGGGAGGAACATGGAAGTCAAGTTCTACTTTTCAATCTTGGTAGTAGCTACATTGTTCATTTTATGATTATTTTGTTAAATAGCACACATATATGTTATGTACATATATACCAGCAAAAAAGAATAGCAATTTTTTAAAAACTTTCCTTTACAAAACTTTTCTAAATTGGGCATGGTCGCTGACGCCTGTAATCCCAACACTTTGGGAGGCCAAGGCAAGCCTGGGCAACATAGTGAGAACTTGTCTCTACAATAAATAAAAAAATTAGCCAAGGCGTGGTGGTGCACGCTAGTAGTTCCAGCTACTTGGAAGGCTGAGGCCAAAGGATTGCCTGAGTCAAGCAGGTTGAGACAGCAATAGCCCTGAGCGTGCACTCCAGTCTGGGCAACAGAGTGAGACTCCAACTCAAAAGTATAAAAAAACTTATCTAAATAAAGCAAACTAAATAAAGATCTCATTTAAATTTACTCATTCTAATTGTACTCTTAAAGGGTCTAAGGAACAGAAATGGGACAAAACCAAAAATGAATTAAATACTTGAGTGACTTTTATTCACCTCTTTCAAGAAAAGTTTCAATGTGGCTAGACAGATTTAAAACATATTTTCAGGGAAAAGTATTTAAAATTAACATAGTTTAATACTGTCAATCCCATCTTTCTCTAAACTTAAAGATTCTTATATCTAAGATAGAAAAGGCACAAATTAATCTCCCTTGGCTTTTATTTTTCAGGATGCTGAAATGTCTAAAGAAATGGCACTCTTCTAGTGTCCTTCAGTTTTGGACCTACAGTCCTTTCCATTCCTTTTCAAATATATCATTGTGCCTTTATTTGTACCAAATCACCTTCTCTCATGAGTACAACCTAGGACTGGCTCTAATGGTTTCTCTCCACTCTGCAGTCAGAAACTATGCTTCTGAACAGTTAATATCGCAACCCTGTTCAATCTGCTGAGAGCACAATCTTAGGAAACTATTCATAAGTGCCCCCCCCCAAACAGACTGTCATTACTTCTCTCTCCAGAAGCTGGCAGTTAATGCCCATTCTACTTCTAGTGAGCGAGGGAGCAGCTATTTCCTGGCAGTGTGTCTTTGGGTCGGGATGATTTATCCCATTACAAGCTAATCACTGCCTATGGCTATACAAAGAGCATCTCTCAGATGAGAAACGGAAACTCTCTGAAGAGCACCATCCTATTAATTTGGCCTGGGTCTCCTTCACTCGTGTGTCCTCTTTTGGAGCTGTCAGTCTTCCACAAAAACCACCAGAACTGAATGTGTTGATTCCTTTTCAGGTCTGAATAACAGGAGAATGATACTTTCATTGTCAGTTTTTATTTCAAAGTCCTTAGGGAAGGAAAATTCTTATTTTAACTAGGAATAACCAGACACTAGTCTATTACAGCTGCAACAAATCTCAAAAAAGCTGTATAAAAGAAAAATGTGGCTTACACCTCCAAAAGTCATTAAAGATGCTTTTTCCTATTGAGGAACCCGGAATACATGATATTACACCAAGCCAAAAGAATCAATTTTCTTCACGGAGTAGAATAGCAATTGGTTGTTACTCATTAGATTCTCACAGCAATGAGCAATGACTTTCTTTCTTGTTTCGTTTCTTTGAATAGGAGATGAAGTTGACTTCTTTCCCAAGGCTGCCCCCACCAACCAGCATCCCTGATCCTTGGCCTCTGGAGCTGTTAATATGCTGCACACATGTGCTTGGGCTCCCTAACAACCAATGCAGTTAACCTTTCTGTTTACTCCAAGTCAGTTCCTAGCTTGTTAGTGAAATTGATTTTTTTCTTTCTAAACATAATAATCTCATATGGTACAAAAACCATATATATATAAAATTCACTAGTTTTCTAAATCCTTTTTTTTTTTTTAGTTGGAGTCTCACTCTGTTACCCAGACTGGAGTGCAGTGGCCACTCCCGGCCACCGCAGCCTCGACCTGCTGGGCTCTGGTGATCCTTCCGCCTCAGCCTCCCAAGTAGCTGGAACTACAGGCGCATGCTACCATGCCCGGCTAATTTTTTGATTTATTGTAGAGATGAGGGCTCGCCAAGTTGCCCAGGTGGGTCTCGAACCCGCGGGCTCAGGCAATCCACTCACCTCAGCTTCCCAAAGTGCTGGGATTACAGGCTGAGCCACCGAGCCCGACTCTAAATCCTTTTTTTAATGTCAGGGGTTTCAGAGGCCATGGGTTCTCATGTTTTAATTGAAAAAGACATGTCCATTCATGGCAATACCCAAAGGTGGGCTGACAACAGCTACTTCAGAATACAGTGATTGCCTCTTATATATGGGGATAGGCAGTAACTGTTGTCGCCCATAATCTACCTTTATTCTGAAAAAGAAGTTAATTCCCTTGACTGAATATAGGTGAAGGTTGTATTTTCTGGAACTAATGATTAGGGAGTAAAATGTGAGAAACTATACTAAAGGATACTTTGTTATAACTATCTGTCTTCGAAGGTACTTCTCTTCCATTCTTTGCCCCATCATTCTCTATTGTAATTGCCTATTAACTGTCTATACCCCTCAAAAACAGGGAGTTCCTAGAAGGCAGGGTTGGATTGCATCAAAATCTTCAGAGCACATGGTCTGGCAGATGACATAAAGTCACTGAGTATTTCTGTTAAGGGTTCCTATTATATTCAACACAAAAGTCTAATTCTTAATTAGTCACAGTTTTAGACTAACTAGCACACTCACTGCCCAAAGTTTATGAAACAAGTTTTAGTCAGACATTATCCCAGTTGAGAAAGATATGCCTGACTGCTAACGATCTCCACCTGAAGCATCTTTATAGAAAAGAAGCAGAAACAATAATAAATTTGTAAGTTTTGAGTCGTTTTGTTCAGCTTCAGACTCTGCTACTAACTAGCAGAACCTTTGAACCTTAATGAATCTTGTGTCAAGAGATTAAAGTGGGGAATTGGACTAAAGAATTTCTAGATGCCTAGCTAGGCCCCTGCTCAAAAACTGACGAGGCATCAATTAGTAAGGGCACTACTGACATAGCAAGCCCTTGTGAACACTAGAGGGAGCCACATTCATGCCATTGCTGGGGTGGTTCAGAAGATTTTAAGAAAAAGTCTCTTTAAATGGAAAACTGACTTTCCAGAATGACAGAAATTCCATACCAAGTGAGGGATTCATATTGTTCCTCCAGCCACCCCACAGGCTCTTTGCCATCACCTCCTTCTTACAGAAGTCAGAAAACCTTACACCTGACTTGCACCAACACACCAGAGTAATTTTAATTCTGTGAGAAACAAGTTGGCTTGGAGCCATTCCTCACGATTTATTTCCTCATTCAGCCGATTTTCTTTCTTAATCAAATTAAAAACAATACAAAGCAAAGCAATTAGTGGTGATATTGGAAAATCCCCAAAGAAGGGAGATAAAGGAGGAGATTCATATCACACTGAAACTGTGCCTGGGAAAAACAGTAGAGTTAACTACAACTGAATTCATTAGTAGTCTGCCACTCAAACCCAGAGCTACTTTAAAAACAAGAAAACTCAAAAAGAGAAAAGACAGTCAAGGAAAGAAAGAAATCAACACAGCTCTGCAATGTGGGTGCTGGAATGCCTGCCTGAGTGAATGGCTGTCACTGCCCTATTGGGCTCCGTGTAAGAGGCTCACAGCTGCTGAAAAGTGATGTCATTAATTAGAGGCAATAGGGTCACATTAGGCATTTGGCAAGAAAACTGTAAGGTGACAAGATAAAGGAATGGAGGATGAGGGGGAAAGAAAAAGCAGAAGCTTATTCTGACATTATTATCTACTCTCTCCTCCACCTCCAAAAAGCACCCATGGCCTTGAAAATGTTTGACCTAAACCATTATAGAACAAGTAAAATGAGGAATCAAAAACCTCTCCATTAGTATCAACCTATGTTTCCCTTTGCCCAGAGGAATAATGGCATGTTAACCTGACAGAAAGGGCATAAATCATGAATATTACAGAATGTAGTCTGTGGGAGAGAGATAAATGCGATCCTGATGAACCCTTCTTATTTATATTTCATAGACTAATTCAACCCTCAGAAAAGCAAAGCCTCAACGGTCAGAAATGGACCACCTACTTTTTAGGACACAAGCTGTTCCTGAGTAAAAATAGATTATAAAGCAGCTTCAGAGAGTGACTTTGTGGGTTAGGAGAAAAATCTACTAGAACAAGACAAACAATTATTTTCCACTTAAAAAATGCAAACTCAAACCTCCAGAGGTAAGTACAGAGTAAACTTCATCAGGTTAACACCAACTTCGTCCTATGGGTCCAAGCAGGTGGGATACCTAATTATTTCTTAAATCATCAATTTCAAGTACTCCACAAGTGCCAAAGTCTTAACAGAGTCAAGATTTCTCTTTTCCTTTAGAACATTTTAAAACAACAAACAAACAAACAAACACCCTTTTCTAACAGCCCTTTCAATCAATGATCCTCACAAGAAGTACAAGAAAACATACTCCATTGTTAAAAGAACAACTTGTTTTCTCTCTTATTTAGGACACATGCCAAAGGATTTCCAATTCACTCTGCTTCGTACTGACCTTTAAAATGTTTCGGCCATCAAATGATTCTCTTTCCTTGAAGATATATTTGCCATCTGCTGTGTAGAGATTGTACCTGCCTTCAGCTGTAAATATTCCAAAGATAACGTTAGAAGAGATTGGACTATTTATCTCTTGGATTTCTATATGAACACAAATACAACCAGCAAAACTTTCATGTGCTACCTGGAAAATGGCATAATGTAGAGGGAAAAACATGAGGCTATGAATCAAGAGACCTGGCTTGTAGTCCCAGCTCTGTCATCAACACACTCAATATACATTTATTCATTTATCAGTCTCCATATAAGCACCATATGTACTTCTTAATTATGCAACTAGCTACATTCTTTAGCAAATTATGTCTCCTCATGGACCTCAGTTTTTTGTTGACAAAGTTTCTGGTTAAGACTAAGTGATCTCCAAAGGTTCCTTAACAGTCTACAAACCCAAGATAAGCTGCACATAATTTTAAATATGTAAAAATACACAAGAGTTTGTACATCAACTAATCAAAACTTCTGGCAACCATCCTTTGTACTGATTTAAGGAGTTCTCCAATGTGTATAAGAGCCTTTTAGTTACAATCAAAAGTTATCCTTACAGATATTCTACACAGGAAAGCAGCAGATCTATGACCTTAGCCTAAACAAAAGCTGTGCTCTTGCTTCTTGAGTTAATTTAGGTTGCATATCCCAAAAAATGTCCTTAAGGGTTGGCAAGAAAAAGAATATCAAAGGAAAAGGAAACGGGGGGGGGGGGAAGTAACATAATTTCATACCTTTTCAAGTAAAATTTCAGCACAAAAGAGTCCAAGGTACAAAAAATTCAAAGTACTCTCAAGAATCATTTAATTCTCAGAATACTTTCTGAAATGTTAAATCCTTTCCTGTCCACTGACAGACCTTCAAAAATATTTATTTCCACCTTTGAGTATGTTCTTTCACTTACATAGGCTTGGAGAGTACCAGGTCAGAACTGATCAAATATATCTAGAGTTCTAACAACCCCATGAACATACATAATACAGTTTAGGTAGCCCACTGGAGTTACACATGGTTAACTATGGAACTATATATCTAAAGAGAAGTAGCTTCTTGACCAAAGTCCCAATCATATGCATATTTCACAACTAAAAAATAGATTCCCTTAGGCCGGGCGCGGTGGCTCATGCCTGTAATCCTAGCACTTTGGGAGGCCGAGATGAGAGGATTGCCTGAGCCCACAGGTTTGAGACCACCCTGGGCAACTTGGTGAGACCTCATCTCTACAATAAATCAAAAAATTAGTCAGGCGTGGTAGTGCATGCCTATAGTTCCAGCTACTTGGAAGGCTGAGGAGGAAGGATCACCTGAGCCCAACAAGTCAAGGTTGCGGTGGCCATGAGCATGCCACTGCACTCCAGTCTGGGCAACAGAGTGAGACTCCAACTCAAAAAAATAAAAAAAAAAAAAAGGTTCCCTGTTAAGAGAAAGAAGACATGAAGTTTTGAAAGAACAAGTAAACGAATACCAAGTAAATATTAATTAAAAAGCAGAAATCATATCTGAAGATTGAAATGTTTAATGACAGGTTCAAAATCTATAAGTAGCATTAATTATAAGAGAAATGCAAATCAAAACCAAAATAAGATCCAACACTACACTCACAAGGATGGCTATAATTTTAAAAAAAAACAGATAATAATAAGTGTTGACAAAAATGTGGCGAAACTAAAAAGCTCAAATACTGCTGGTGGAGCATAAAATGATGGAGCAACTTTGGAAAATAATCTGGAAGTTCCTCAAAAGACTAAACATAGATTTACCACATGACCCAGTAATTCCACTGCTGGGTATACACCCAGGAGAGCATAAGCCCATATAAAAGCTTGCACACAGTGCTCATAGCAGCATCGTTCATAACAGCCAAAAAGTGGAAATAACGCAAATGTCCATTAACTGATGAATGGATACGTAAAATGTATTTCCATACAACAGAATATTATTCAGCTATACAAAGGAATGAAGGACTGATACGTGTTACAAATGGGTAAACACTGAAGCCCGTCACAAAAGACGATAATATTGCATGATTCTATTCTTATGAAATGTCCAGAACAGGCAAATCTATGGAGACAGAAAGTAAACTGGCAGTGCCTAGGGCTTGGGGGATGAAGGAGGTAGGAAGACATGGGATGAACTGCCAGTGGGTATGGGGCTTCTTTCTGGAGTGATGGAAATGTTCTAAAATTGACAGTGGTGATGGTTGCACAACTCTGACTATACTGAAACCACTAAGTTGTATACATCAAATGGGTGAATTACATATTACATGAATTATATCTCAATAAAGCTATTATATTTTGAAAATCTGTAAATAGGAAGGGATAAAGAGACTGTGAACACAGAACATTTTCTTACATAAAACTCTAGTGCTAACTGAATATAAACCTGGATCCACACAATTTAGAATATACAGATTCTAACACAACTGAGCTCTACGTTACATAGTCAGTTAATGGAACATGAAATAGTAAATTTTAAGAGCTCTGAAAATTCTGCAGAACCAAGACAAATGTAAAATGCACTAATGATAGCTCTTAAATGTCTAATGAAATACTGCCTTTACCTGCACTGTCCAAAACAGTAGCCACTATACAGATGTAGTTATTCATATTTAAGTTAGTTAAAATTAAATATAAATAAAAGTTCACTTGTGCAGTCTCACTAGCCACCTTATTTTTGTTTTTGTTTTTTGAGTTGGAGTCTCACTCTGCTGCCCAGACTGGAGTGCAGCGGCACACTCATGGCCACCCAGCATCAACCTGCTGGGCTCCAGCGATCCTTCTGCCTCAGTCTTCCAAGTAGCTAGAACCACAGGTGCGCGCTCCCATATCAGGCTAATTTTTTACTTATTGTAAAGATGCAGTCTCACCAAGTTGTCCAGGCCGGTCTCAAACCTGCAGGCTTAGGCAATCTACTCGTCTCAGCCTGCCAAAGTGCTGGGATTACAGGCTGAGTCAGTGAACCCGGTCACTAGCCACCTTTCAAGTGCTTACAACCACATGTAGTTAGTGGCTACCATACTGGATTATCACAGATACAGAATATTCCTATCATCGCAGAAAGTTCTATTAATACAATATGCCAGCCGGGCTCGGTGGCTCAGCCTGTAATCCTGCGCCTTGGGAGCCTGAGGTGAGTGGACTGCCTGAGCCCGCGGGTTCAAGACCCACCCAGGCAACTTGGTGAGACTTCATCTCTACAATAAATCAAAAAATTAGCCGGGTGTGGTAGTGCGTACCTGCAGTTCCAGCTACTTGGAAGGCTGAGGCAGAAGGATCACCGTAGCCCAGCAGGTCGAGGCGCGGTGGCCTCTGCACTCCAGTCTGGGTGACAGAGTGAGACTCCAACTAAAAAAAAAAAAATACAATATGCCTTCTGAACCAATGAATTTAGACTCTCTTTAAACTCTCTGCCTCAGTCAGGCTCAGTGGCTCAGCCTGTAATTCTAGCACTTTGGGAGGCTGAGGCGAGTGGATTGCCTGAGTCCATGGGTTCGATATTAGCCCAGGAAACTTGGCGAGACCTCGTCTTTACAATAAAGCAAAATTAGCTGGGCATGGTAGTGTGCACCTGTAGTTCTGGCTACTTGGAAGGCTGAGGCGAAAGGATTGCCTGAGCCAAACAGGTCGATGCTGGGGTGGCCGTGAGTGTGCCACTGCCCTCCAGCCTGGGCAATGAAGTGAGATCCCAACTCAATAAAATAAAATAAATAAATAAACTCTCTGCCTCTACATAATGATGGGTTTTTTTTTGTTTTGAGTTGGAGTCTCATTCTGTCACCCAGACTGGAGTGCAGTGGCCAC